TGGATTCTGCTTACTTCTTTGTAATCTTCTGGCTCCCTCATTGTTGCTTGAGCCTTCACTTTGTCTATCTTTTCCTCGTTTCTGTACTTTTGTTTCTCCAGCTCACCGCAGTTCTTAGACACAGTCTCGCTCTTGTTCCCTGAAAGCTGAAATCCCACGCATGTCATGAGTTCTACTGTTAAATTTTCATGCAGAAACAAGACTATGACCGAGAAATCTGACAGTATGTATTATCAACGGCGATCACCGTTGCCCCGTCGTCCTCTGCTGCAGCGGCATGGGCTTCTCCTGACTTCGAAGCTGTTTGCGAGTGATCCATCGCCGGCACCAACAGTTGCACCGAGCCTGCCCATGGTGGGTGCGGATAGGGGTATACATGCAGCGTTCATGGACCGTGCTGTCCCTGGACCTGTGAGTTGGGGAGGTTGAGAGACGTGACGTCTCCGAGAGAGGATCGCAATTGACGCCGGTCCTGAGTTAGAGAGAGTGCAGGAAGAGGAGAAAGAAGAAGATGGAGACGATTGGCCACAGATTCGTTTCTTTTTTAAAAAATGCCAGTTGTAAGCAAACGGTTAGGCTCTAGGGTAAAATTGCTCTCCCTTTTGTAAATTTCAAGATAAATTTGCTCCAAAAAAATAGTTTTAGATGCCGAATACTTCTTTAAAAAAATTTTCAGGGCATTTTTACCCTCTGAACCTTCTAGGAATAATAAAATGGTTCATCCCTTCGATTCATCTATCAAGTTTAAATTGTACAAATCAAATCCATAAAATTTAATAAACGTACCTTATTAGTCTTTACAAGGGGAAATAACATTATAAAGATTAATTGGATATGATTATAAAATTTTAGAAATTTGATGGATAAGGATTAAATTTTATAGACTAGAACAATAATTAAGACAAGAGATAATGCATCTTTTAATTCCTTAAATTTGTTTTAGTTTTCTGTTTGGTCTCTCAAGTTTGTTCTAGTCTTTTAAAATTGGGTAAGTTGGATTTTAAAAAATTAATAATTTTTTTATGTATGAATAAGTGATGTTTGAATATTTACAATTGAACATTCTGACACTAACAATGTGTTCATGACTAACAAAAATAGGTGAAAATGTTTGAAAAATAAATTTATAACATATATATTATTTAATATAATATTGATAATTTATTGACATTGAAAGAACAAGCTGTAAAAAATAGAATAAATTAAGTTTTAAAAAATTGATAATTTTTTTTTGTATGAACAAGTAATGTTTGAACATTTATAAGTGAATGTTTTGATATTAATAACAAAATGTCTATGATTATCAAAAGCTCGTAAAAATGCGTGAAAAATAAATTTATAATGTATATATTTTTTATTTAGTATAATATTGATAACTTATTAACATTGAAGAAATAAGTTGTAAAAAAAAAAGAATAAATTGAGTTTTAAAAAATTAATAATTTTTTTTGTACACAAACAAATTATATTTAAACATTTATAAGTGATTGTTCATATATACACAACAAGACATTTAAAATATGCCATAATAGATAAAATACTAGGAAATCAAAGTTACACAATATATATATATATATATATATAATTTTGCATTATATGTATTAAAGTATTTGTTAGCTTTATGATTTTTTTTGTTTTAAGAAGCCAAGGGTCAATGTTCAAATTCACCCTTGAACTTTTGGCACATTTAATTAATGGTTAACAACCCCGTCGGTTGTTGGTGACAAGACTTTTTCTTAGAAAATAGAAAGGCAATGACATTTTAATAATTGAATAAAAAAATAATCATAATTGAGGTCTTTGGGTCTATAGAAGTGTTTCATAATTTTTTGAACCTTACATGTGATTAATTTATTTATGAAAGTCCTAGTTGAGATTCTCTTTATTTTCTACTCCCATCGCTAAAAAATATAAAATATTTTTTAAAATATTGAATATTAACAAATGTAAAAAAATTTTAATCTTTTAAAATGTAGTCATTATTTTTTTTTCAAAAGTGTTCTTATTGAATAAATCACTTTATATTTATTCTAGACCGAAACACCCAATTAAGTAAGAATAAATATAAAAAGACATGGTTAGTTTTAAGATAAAGAACTACTTTATTGAGATAAAATTTGATTAAAAATATTTTATATTTTTTAATGAAGGGAGTACATTTTTTCCTCTTTTGCAAAATTAAAGTAATAAAGATGTTTTGGTTTTTTAGAATAACTTTTATTTTTTTATTTTCAATTTTTTTAAGGGTAAATGGGCAAAAATACCTGCAAAGTGATCAGTTATGAGCATTTAGTATCCTAAAATGAGAAAAAGGATAAAAATACCCATAACGCTACATGAATGGGTGCAAAAATAACCAGACCATTAACTTTGCCCTAACGCCGTTAAATGCTAACTATGCATGCCACGTGTTAATCTTTATTAATGTGAATTAATAAAGGGGCAATTATACCTACGAAATCATCACCCAAGAGTAAAAATATCCATGAAGTCATAGGTTAGGAGAAAAAATACTCATAACATTATCAGAATTGGTGCAAAAGTAACTAATTCATCCAATCCCTTAAATATTAACCGTTTAACTGATATATAAGAAGAAGTTGACTATTTTTTCACTGTTGTAGATAAAAATATTCCCAGAAGAATTTTTACGAATGTTAATCAATCATCAATGAGTACCTATAATATTACTTTAATAAGTGTAATAATGATCAATCCATCAAACTCAATACCACATGGCTTTTTTTTATCATCACGTATTTTGCCCCCTTCCTTTCTCTTGCTTCACTCATTTTTCTTGGCTGCAAAACCTAAGATTTAATATAGTGAGATAGGTTGTACAAAATTAAAAATTGAGACTAAATACATCTAGCTTAATAACAATATCATAACTTTAAGCAATTGCATTCATGATAAGTTTAAAAATTTTAAATAATTTTCACCACTGCTACAAAGAAACAAGCGATTTAATTTGATATTCAATCAAAATGACATCTTCTCATATAATATTCATACAATGATCGATTAATCTTCAGAAAATTTCATCTAGAAATATTTTTTGTATATATCAGTGAAAAAAATAGTCAACTTTTGCTTAGATGTCAGCTAAACAGTCAACATTTAAATGATTAGATGGATTAATTACTTTTGCACTAACTCTGATAATATTATGGGTATTTTTGCTCTTAGTTTATGACTTCATGAGTATTTTTGTTCCTAGACGATAACTTCGTGAATATTTTTGCTCCTTTATTAATCTATGTTAGCAAAGACTGACATGTGGTACGCACAGTTAGCATTTAATGGTCAAGTTACTTTTATACTTATTCATATAATATTATGAGTATTTTTATTTTTTTACTCATTTTAGGATACTGAATGTTCATGACCGATCACTTTGTGAGTATTTTACTTTTTTATCCTTTTTTGAAACAAGTAATCAAACATGCTCTCAATTTTTAATCCTTCCAAAATAAAACCTGACCCAGATTTTACTTTCCAAGTTGAGTCTTTTTTTTTTTTTCCCGGAGATTACTGGGCAAGCTGGAAGATTGATTTATCGTACGGCTTAGCACCAAACATCAAACCAATTCACCACAACCTGTTCGAATGCTGATGGCCATTTGCATCACCAAGATTTGTCTCGGAATTTTTTTTCCCAAGCCAGAAACTGATCGGGGACCAAATAATCAAAAAAGAAAACTAAAGCCAATTTTTATGTTCCGAGTTTTCTACTAGGAAAATGACAATAAACCTCTCAAATTATATAAATAACAACCTAATTTTTCAAAATATCATAATTTTATTAAAAATTTTAAAAATTTATTTTTCAATAAATTTCAAAGTAAAAAAAAACCGTTTACTCTTATTAAGAATAACAAGCTCAAATCACAACTTTACTTAAAAAATAAACTTTTGTGGATTACAAGAATTAAACAAGAAGTCATAATTTATCAAGTGTAATTTTTGTTTCAAAATAGTAAGCTCCAATCATAACTTTTGTTTAAGAAATAACAATTTTTATTTTACGAATCGCAAGAGTTGAACAAAAAATAATAATTTATTAAATGTAATTTCTGTTATTGAAAAATAAGTTTTTAAAATAACAAGCTCAAATTACAACTTTTATTTAAAGAATAATAATTTTTATATAAAGAATCGCAAGAATTGAATAAGAAATCACAACTCATTGATAAAGGTATAATGATCTTTTTAATTTAAAATTTATTAACATAAAAGTTTTTGAAGATTTTGATAGAATTATGACATTTTAAAAAGTTAAATTATTATTTATTATCATTTTCCCTCTCCACTGTCAAATGCTCTCATAAAAGCCATAATCAATGGTATAATTTTTTGGATTAGCTTTAATGTTTTCTTTTCTATTTTTTTTAAAACCAAATATGAGATTTTACATTCTTATTGAATTATATCTTTATAATTTCCTTTAATTTTAAATTAGATCTTTATAATTCATTTTGCTTTAATTGATTCCTTATAATTTAACTCATTAAATTTATTAATATCTGAAAATTAAAATCCTTGAATTTTCTTCCAAAAATACAAAATTAAAAAAAATACAACTTTAGAATTAATTATATTTTTTTTATAATTTAAAATTTATATAATTAGATGGTCTTCTAAATAACTTTTACAAATATAGAATTTTTTTCAAAAAATTTAATAAAAGTGTAAACAGTGTATTAAATAAATTTTCGTCTTTCAATTTTTTATAAACTTCAAAAATATTTTTATTTTGGAAGTCTTAATAATTCATTATTAATTTTAACCCTTAGGGATTAACATATCTAATGAATCAAATCATAAGGGTTCAATTAAAATAAAATAAATTATAAAAATTTAATTTAAAACTGAGGAAAGTTATAAGGACTTGCAAATTAATTTTCCGTAATTATATACACAACTGTAGTTTAACACTTTAACTTTAATGTAACCTAGAAAGGGTTTTCCATCAAAAGCAAACGTTAAAACATATAAGATTATTTCATAACAAGCACACAGAAAAAAGCTTGATTAAAGAGATTTACAATATTCACAGCCTCCTCAGTTCAGAAGAGGAGGGAAGGCTAAATGCTATAAACATAAAGATAAAGAAATGTTTCTACTAGCCGGTAGGTACTGCTGCTTTCCCACAGCTGAACCAGAGGCCAATGAGTTAACCTAGTTCTGTTTCTTCAAGCAGAACCCTTTAATTTATCTAAGGCCTGACTGACACAAAGGATGCAACCTTTACCATCAAACATTTATCTTCCCAATTTAAAATTTAAGACTGTCTTTCTTCCAGAGCTAGATGACAGCATGGGACCGACCTATAAGCTCAATAACTAAACGAAGCTGCTACAGGCTCCCCTTCTTCGTTGCCTGATGGCAGGCCTAATTTCATCATTTAGGCATCAATCTGTCAGGAGCACTCTGAACCTGATAGCCAATTAGATTATAAATTAATTAGAAAAGTCAAACTGCCTCGTATAATTGCATAATAGATTTTAAAGTCTAATAGAAAATTTCCATCTTTTAACAGGCTTCAGTGAATCAACTATTATGGCAGCAAGAAGATGATCTACTGTAAACATGAGGTGCTTTAGACTTGCTAGCTACTATTCAGTTTCCACATGATATTGGGTTTGTTCATTAAAGCGACAGAAATGCATTCGTTTATTGATTATTCAGTTTCCATAAAAGAATCTGATCAGACGAATATTTTCATAAACAGCCAGCCAGCCATTGATTTTAAGACTTAGTTTAAGACATGAGGTGATTACCTGAGTTGCATATGATGAACTTTCTGCCAAAAACTTGAGAAATTCATTCTTCTTTTTATTGAAATTGATCTTTGCAATGTCCAACAAAGTTTGTTCCCTTCTTATATCCTCAAGAATCATTTCCTTCCTCCTTTTCCTATTATTCAGTTGGCTCTCAGTTTCATTGTAGCTATCAGGTACAAATTTTCCTGGTCTGGGGAATCTCACATCCACATTTTCCCTGATAAAAAATAACCCGAAACCAATATATATAATTAAAAGAAGGAAACGACCCAAAAGGAAATTAAACTATGACAGCTAAGAACAGGTAACTAGTTTCCATATATCAACAAAACCCTTGTAGATTCGCATATCCAATGATTTCATTCTTCCAGAAACAAAATAAACCTAGCATACCAATGCCCCTAAAACCAAGCCTATTCTCAAAAAACAAAAGAAATTTCTTAACGGGTTTTAGGAACAGAAAAGGTCAACCAATAAAGACAGGAAATAGAATTAAAGTAAGAACCTATGAGACCTCAAATTATCAAGTTCCAATGATTATCATTGAAGTGCTATCTTGCATGACAACAGCACAAGAAAAGAAAAGTAATATTCATTACTCCAGGAGAGAGTATTTAATGTTCAAGGATTGTGTACAACACACAATGCCCCACCTAGTGGGATAAAGGCTTGTTGTTGTTGTTGTTGTTGTTGATTGTGTACACACACACACACACACACACACACACAATAAAAAAAGAAGATGACGGCAACACACCTTACCTCACTAAATGGTGCTGGCAATACAATAAAAAAAGAAAAAGAAGAAATTATAAAATTTTAAAAATTAAAAGAAGGGGGGAAATTCCTGTTAATCAACCTTGGATGATAGATATTCAAATTTTCACCGCCTTGCCTAGGTGCTTGGCTCAGATTTTTCAAGGTGCTAAAACTACAGACGTTAAGTGAAAACACAATTTGCTTCTCTTTATTTCTATCATTTTTGCAAGATACCTTCTCTCCCTATATGAACTCGTCTTTCCCTCTATAATGGCATTCAATTTTCAGAAAATGGAAACGAACAACCTGGCTAAGACAACTATCCCTATTCCTAGGATAGCAAATTATTATGTTTCAACCAGTCTCAAAATTTTAAGACGATAATACTAGGGAATGAAACATAATGTATAACTACATTGATTTGACAGGAATCCTCTTACCCATTGCCCAAGAAGAATACGCCGCTACTTCTAATGATTCCTCCATCTAAAGAAAGAGCTCCGTCACTTATGCAAGGAAGTGCTTGCATCATTTCTGCTCTTGTCTTGTATATTTGGAGACGGGAAAAGAGATTATAAAACAAAGTCTCTCTGAGGCCATATCCACTGGGAGTAACACAAAATAAATTCGAGCCATCTATGTTAATCATGTTCACAGCAAAGCCAAGAAATCCCTCTGGACACTCCCCATTGGGTAATCTTGGGCTTAAAATGTCCAACTTCCTCTGTGGATCATCAAGCACAAATTTACCAGCATAAGGCCTACAGAAAGGATAGGGGAAACAAAATCAAAACAAACAGCATTTGCAAAATTAATATATCCTACATTTCCAGCAATAATGAAAGGCTGATGCAATCCGACCTCAGAGATTCAAGACATATAACTAAAAATCGACCAGCCAAGGACCTTCCAAGAGAGGCACCTAGCCCATGAACACCAAAACTCTTGCTTATGTTGCCTTCATCATCATACATTTCAAGAGCCCTGACACATTCATAAGTCTTACAAACAATAGCCAGCATAGTTTCAACTCCTAGATACTCAGATAGAAGCCTGCATTTCAAATAAGTACAGTTAAACGCATAAATGCATGCTTAAAATTTTATGCATGCTCATTGGTATTAGAATTAGCAATACAGCAAAATATCCTATATTTCATAGCAGTTGAATATGAAACCAATGAGCCCAAAGGAAGGAGAAGCGATTTTCTTCTAAAAAAGAAATTACCTCAGAATGCAAACAAAACATACCTGCTAAGATTATCATCATCAACTTTGCCCAGTGTAGCAACAACACCCACAACATCCTTCATTGGCATAAGATGAGAAGCCTGAGTTCCTTGATAACTCTTGAGCTGGCAGAACATACCAGCAGCAGATTCTTTGTGCTGCAGTATTTGTTCAATAATCTCATTCTCATTTCCCGGGGAGCATCTGTCCCCATCACCAATCTTGGGTGTGCTTACAGGACATAGATTCCCAATAATAACTACGAATAGGAATAAAAAATCCAAATGAAACTTGCTCCTCATTAACACAAAATTAATATGAAAAAGGGAATGAAGAGCATTGTCAGTGGAAAGAAATGAAGTTTAACACTTTGGAAGGTTATGGCATTAGTATCAACAATGAGCCATGACCATCATCACTAAAACCTTGTTTTCTTTAACTAATTGGTAAAAATAGTTCTACATTTGGGATTCTCTTAGGGTGTGTTTGGTTGGAGGGGAGGGGAGTCCTAGACTCCCCTCCTCTCCCCTCACCTCACCTCCCCTCTCCTCCCCTCCCCTTTCCTCCCCTTGAACCAAACAGACCCTTAGTGGCAACAACAACACAGCCAATATTTTATCAAGTTATTATTGGAAAATATAAAAACAACTAGCAACGAACAGTTTGAAGCTTACAATGATTAAATTACGCACCTCACAGAACAGGGTCACTTGTATGCCCATGACTAGGAATCCGTTTGCCAGCCAAAGATAGAAAAATGCCTTAAAATGTATGAACAAATTTACCATGCAAATTTCATTAAAAAAAAAAAAATTAAAAATACCTTGCAAATCAAGAATGGAATCATCTACTTTGTTTTTTTCTTCCCTCAGAAAATTTAGGCTGTCCTCATGCTTCTTGATTTTCATCCCCAACATTTGCAGATCACCTTGAAGTTTCTACAGGCACTTGTAATTATGGGATAAGTTTGTGATATGTATACCACTAAATCCATATCAGGAAACATAATTAAAGGGTATATCTAGGATCAGGATTCCATGAAATTCCATAGCTCAAATTTCTAATCATCCCAGTTATTCACTCCCATAGATTGAATCTATGGCTTTCATCATACAACAGAGGGAAAGTGAAGGACCAGAGGTGATAGAGTCCATATGAAAGAGTGAAATTCAATTGAAATGCTGACGTGGCTTTTATTTAACAGTGGATATTCAACCTACGGCAATATACAGCTGAGATGGTGAGAGTGAGAAATTTACAGCATCAATTTCTGAAGGAATTTCAAAGGATCCGAATCTGTATATATCCAAAAGAATATATGATAAAGTAATTTGATTAACCAACAACCGGTGAAAAACTATCATCCTTTTCTACTGAAAGCAATAAAAAATGATATGACAACATTAGACATCCACAACCTGAGAATGCTGGATGATGGACTCTGCCTGTGAAAAACCTCCATTTTGCACATCATTGTTTACATCTATAGAGGTTTCATTCAAGTCAACTTTCACCAATGCTTTGGAATTCTGGACGGCCAGAAGCTGCATAAGTAGATGTTAATTGCTTGTATAAATTCAGATGATGTTTGCAATGGGGAAAATTATTGTTTGAACTCATAAACAGCCTAACTCCTAAAATCTCAAGCACAAGCTAAACATTTTAATAAAGTGATACCATAAAGGATTGGATAACGTGTGATAGACACCCTTTTCCTTTATTTTATTTAATGTATAGAAGAATAGTGCAACGGAAATAATGTTCTCTCGAAGGATTGGCACCGATGAATTTTAGGAACCTGGAAGAAAACTATCCCGATATTGATGGGGTAATGCATGTCAATATATTTTAAAAAAAAAAAAAATTAACTCCCTGGCATCCAAGAAAAGCAGATAATGTTGATTATGACAAACCAAATTGAGCTTCAAAACAATGGTAAAAAGCAAATGAATTTGCCGTCAGCAGTGCACTTTTTCTGGAGCGTGTGGCATGGGTGAGAGAAAAAGAGAGAGATCAATTCAATAGTCAATGAATATAAGTTACCCGTTTGGACAGAGTTTTATGTGATTATATGCTGATGAGGAAAGATAATAATGTTTCACTCAAAAAGAAGAAGAAGAAGAAGATAATGTCGTCCAACATGTTGCAACCATTAGCTACAATGACCATAATAAAATGGAACCTTAAAATCAACATTTAATTTCTGTCACGGTATAGGTTTGGGGTTCCACTGTTCAAACCAATAACTGAAACTGTTCAAGTCCCGCAATTCAAACCACCGACTGATACCAGATTCATTGGCATTACTGACAATAATCATGCCGCAGCCACCCAATGAATATCGAATGCAAAACTTCCCATGCAACAGGTAGTTTTGGAGAAACAGTACAAGCGGTTGGGCGACTCACCATTTTCCTTGGATTCAGTCTACCAAGGAAAAGGTTTCCGTAACTCACATTTATCTGATGAAATATCCCCAAATCGTAATGATGACAAAACCAGGATTATTCAATGTGCAATTAAAACTTCTATCATAAAACTTTCTCAATAGCATCTCCCAGACCATTCCAGTGTATGTTGATACCGGTAGTTGTCAGTTAAACATACTTTATTTTCTACTTTTTGTTATGGCACAATCAAGAATAGCCCCAAAATTGAGGAGTAAGAAAATATAAAAACCGCCATTGCTGAACAAAATTGTTTCTTTGATGATTTTCCGAGCATTCCAAATGATAAAAATGGTCCAAAAAAACATGACTTCTCTTTGCGGGACCCCACCAAGTCAGTTTTAAAAAAAAAAAAAAAACAGAGAAAACTACACGAATCACTCAATACAGGATACGATTGGCATCTGAATCTGGTGCACCGATTGACCCGTTCACGGATTGATAATCTCTGAAGATTAAAAACAGACATGCATTGCAAGCCCTAAGTTTCGCCTGGTTTGGGAGAAATTCGGGGGAAAGAAAGGGGAAGAGAAGTGAACAGTAATAATTGGACACCAAGATGAAATTCGAAGCTGAAGTAGAGTGGTGGTAGCTAAATAACAGATGGAGATGAAATTGGAAAATGACGAAGAGAGATAGAGAGAAATGCACCTTGTGGGAGGGCTGATACATGACTGAAGACTGGAATATGCGGACTGGGTCTGGGTGTGCTCGTTCTTTGCGGTATGCAGCTCTAAACTTCCAAGTACGAAGAGATGGGTTTCTCTCCGTTACTTCGGTTTCTCTCCTTTATTTTCTTTCTCTTATTTTTTTTTTACTGTAAATCTAAACTGTTTGAATTAATTGTTTTAAAAAAAGTTATTAAATTTAAGTTATCAAACGTAATTTAACAATTCAAATTTACAGTGAACTCTCCTTTGTTCTCTCCATCGGTCAGCGATCGTCCCTCGCGCCTATAAACGCAAAGCGTCTCTCGCCTTCTCAGCACGCCCTTATAACGTACTGTCAACCCTAAGGGGAGCCGCGAAAAAAACTGTTAAATTAAATGCTGTCATAAATTCATAATTCAACGAATAAATATTTGATTTAGTATATAATACTCACCCCGTCATTTTATATAAGAATCTTACAAAATTTAGGGAGATATTAATAATGTGTGATTTTCACAAATATTTTTGATAAATTCAACTCCCTACTATCTCTCATTAATCAAAATGAAGATTGATAGGGTGTTCCTATAAAAAAAAAAACAGTTACCTTTTTTTTTTTGGCCAACAGAGGATTGCCTTTTTTAAATGCATTTGGAAATGTTACAATTATTATTTGCAAAATAAAATTTTCAAGTAATTTTAACTGCATCCATTAATTTACGTGATTCAGTTAAAAAGTTCTTATAAAAAAGTATATTTTATTTATTTAAAAATGTAAGACATTTTTGAGGAGTTAAATGTTCAAAAATGAAAGGTATTTTTAATCTTTCGAGGTTTAATCATTACCCTTTTTTTAAAAGTGCTCCTATTAATAATGACTTTATATTTATTGTAGAGTGTTTAATAGAGGTAAATATGAAAAAATAGGATTAGTTTGAAAGTATGTAATTACTTTATTGAAGATAAAATTTGATTAAAAATGTCTCACATTTCTAAATGGAGGGAGTATTATATTATTTATGAATAAGTAAAACATGGTTATGTTATTAAAAAATTAATGACTCATAAATATTTACATTATTATTTATTAATATCGATTTTTTTGGTGAGATATAAAATTATTATACTTATAAAACATTTTAGTGTTTTTTGTAATTTTTTTTGCTGACATGACTATTATGGTCCTAGGAAGAAACAAAGAAATTAAAGATAGTTAAAAAAAAAAAAACCCTTCTTTATTTACCAGCTCAAATGTGATATAGTGCCAGTGTGTTGCAATTTTTTAATTGAATAGATTATAATTGTATTTGTTTTCCATAATTAGAGGAAAGAGAAAAGAAAAGGATAAACAGATGGGTCAAACATTAAAAAATATGAAGCATTTTTTTAAGTTAAATGTTGAAAATTATAAGATATTTTTAATTTTTAAATGTGTAATTAATAAGTTTTTTAAATATTATTAATAAATAAATTAATTAATTATTCACTTTTAAGTAAGACCCCTATTAAATAAAAACAAACATAAAAAATGATATAAATTTAAAAAAAAATAATTAATTTATTAAAGGTATGATCCAATTAAAAATAATTTATATTTTTTAAGGAAAGAAATATGTTCATATAATTATAAATATTCCTTCTCTTTCTTTCTTTCCATTTCACTGTTTATTACAATCAATGAGAGGGATATCTTTGCGTGCGGTCCATTTGTCAATCGATTTAAATTTTGAGGTGAAAGATTGCAATTGTCAATTTGACAGCACTGATTATTATAAACTTGAGTTTTTTTTTTCCCAATGAAAACAATCTTCGTATTAAGAACAATAAACGAAGTCCCAAAATATTCACATTCTAAACTTGATCATTAGCTTGGTTTTTTAGGTGGAGCTTGATTATTAACTTTTGACAGTGAAAACAGCATATTCAATATGAAGAAAGTTACATGAACATGAATTCTTTTTCCTACTTATTTTAAATATCTTTTCTTCTGGTTACGAAATTATCATGATGATTTAGTGGTATCATTACACTCAACTGACTGACATCTTAACTTTAATCATCTTAATTTCATGATAGATGTTGTTTCTTTTAAAGATTTCATTGCTAGAAAATTTGATATAATGATCAATTTCATAAAATATAAAATGATTACATAGGAAATCTAAGTTAACTTAGAGTCAGTGAGGGCAGTTGAAAATGGAGTTTTTGGCCTCAAAGCTCAAGACTAGCAATGACAAATTTAAAATAGTGTAGAACATGAAGTGCAAATAAAATTATGCAAATTAAATGCTCAACATTTTACCCACAAGCGCTTGATTCAATTAGTAAGAATCATATTAGCTTCATCAGAAGTTTCAAATTCAAATCCTAAAAATATAATAACGTTTAGTGGTAGAGCACCTAAAATGATCCCGACTTGGCCCAATCCAAATAAGTATGAGCTAATAATTTTGGACACCAGATTATTTATTATATAAAAAGGGGAGAGAGAGAGAGAGAGAGAGAAAAGCTCCCATACTCTCTACTACCAAGTAGTCGGCAAGTTTGATAAGTTCTGAGCTACAGAATTTGACCCAAAAATGCTACTACATAAATTAATGCGTGCTCTATAGCAATAAATGTTCAAAACCCGCTATGCAAAAGCTATATAATGCATATTCAATATTCAGAGTGGCAGTCTTTTTTTTCCTTGTCAATCATATTCACAGGAGCTTATTCATGTAAAATTGAGCTGTCCGTTATACTGGGTTTATATTCCAACAATTGGTTTTCGATCATAGGCCCCGAGTCATCCATAATCTTCCCATATCGGCGTTGTCTTCTGCGGAACTTCTTCAGGTGCTTATCGTGCAATTCAATCACATTTCTTATATCATCCTCAAGGCCCGTTAACTTATCCCTCAGTTCCCCAATCTTAGCTATCATTTTTCTAGTCTCTGGAGTGGCAAGCACCGGACTCTCAAGAGGAAAGCATATTGAAGGATTCCTGCAGGAAAGAATGAGTAAAGTGAGTTATAGTTCACTATCATCCTTGTCATATCACAAACATCTGGAGAACTGAATACAGATGCTACTTGGAATTAGATTTGAATCATCATGTTAATGACAAATCTCCATCAATGTCAAATCCGAACACTTGTTCACTGTAAGTCAAGGGGCATTTTCCGTTTTCGCTCACACCTCAACAACACATCACCCACTGGAGAGTATTGAACACATAAATGACAAGAAATAGAAGCAGGATAAACACCTATGGACATAGTGAAGAACAGATTTAGAATCTGGCTTGAAAAGCGATAAGTTGCATTCAGTGCCTCATCAAATTAGAATGACAGATTAAGAAATGGACAAATAGATGGGATGACAATCTCAAGATCGCGCTTCCTTGATTCAGTCATTCCAATTTCGTTAACTCATTTAGTTTTCCTCCCTACAGAAATAAAAATATTTAGAAGCATGAAAAAAAGAAAAACACATGGTCACAAACACTAAATGTAGGCTCTGAACAAGATATACGGCATGAAATGCATGACAGCTGGATAATATACATACACACAACAGCCAGAGAGATATATACCCGTAACCAAGAGAGATTAGTCCACGTTCTCTTACAATGCCGCCATCTAGTGAAACAGCTCCATCCTCTATACAGGCACGAGCAGCCATCATATGCTCCCTTGTTTCATAAACTTGGAGCTTCCTGAATAGACTGAAAAGCACAGTCTCCCGGAGACCATGTCCCGTAGAAGTCCTTGTTTGCAAATGATGATCATCCAGCTCAATCATATTAACAGCATAACCCAAAAAACCTGCCGGCATACTGCCATTTGGCAAAGTAGGATATGGCAAGGTCAGCTTCCTCTGAGGGTCATGTCCTTGGCAACGCCCATTGTAAGGCCTGTCATGTACATATGCATGGGCATAACACTTTAAAATGCAGGAAAAAAAACATAGAAATTTGGCCCCAGCTCCCAGACTTGTGTGTTTCACGCTTTCATTGAAAAAGATAATCCATACAACAATTTTTTTTTAAAAATGCAAAGCTCACATTACCTTATATCTTCAAGGCACAAAACAAGGAAACGCCTACATATAACTTTTCCAAGTGTGGCTGCTTCAGCATGTAAAGCAAGTGTAGAATCAACTTCTCCACTTTGTGTATACCTCTCAAGAGCACTTGCAGCATCAAAGGTTCTACAAACGACAGACAGCATCTTATCTTCTCCAAGATACTCTGCTAATATTCTGCAGACAAGATACTTAGAACATGGTTAGAAGTAGATAGAAATAATTTTCCTCTATATCAGCAACGAGAGAAACAATGAAGGTAAAAGAGCAAGACCTGCTAAGCTCAGGGCTCTGAACAGTACCAAGAAGTGCAACCAGGTTTATTATATCGTTCATGATAGACTTCTGTGGCATTTGGTTCGGCAAGAGACTGCAGATAACAGCAGCTGCTGAGTTTTCCATGCATTGTATTCTTTCCTTCAGTTCATCTTTGGTGAATAGACAATTTATATTACTCAATTGACGAGGACCAACCTTTTCTGTGAATTAAGATAAGCACAATCAACTGGGTCATTGCTTTATTTTCCATCAACTTCTTAGATCAATGAGTCATAAAGAACCAAGCATAATCCATGCAGAAACGCACAAGAGCACAGGTGCAACAATTGAGACGGAAAGGCCCAAAATGCAAAAGGACTATTTAGGAAAATTATTCTAGACATTATCTATGTAGAGTATAATGGTGTCGTATAATTTATATAATTGATCCTACCTAGTAGAATAAGATTTCTTGTTGTTGTTGTTGGATCTAAATTATATTGACTTTTAATTGCCAAAATGCCCTAAATAAGGTTTTTTTTAACAAAAATTACAACATCAATGATGAAACTAGATGTGATATATTACTTTCAATTTGATTACTCAAAAAAATTACACATTTTTTTGGAGCTGTTAACTGTTAAGTATAATTTGTTTGTGATTAGCTATATATATACATAGAGAGAACCTTGCAACTCCAACACCTCTTGCTCTGTTTTAGCCTTGAGATTATTAAGATCAAGAAGCGTCGTTTCAATTTGTCCAATATCTTGACCAATCTTGAGGATGTCTTGAAGTTCCTGCAAAATAGATGCATCTTAATACACAACTACAGTTGCGACAGAAGATGGAATTTAATGCAATTAACATTTCCATATCTTCTTTCCATATAGTATTGTCAAAAATGGAAGTAAAGCATGTTATCCGTTTGTCAAAAAGTAGATCAAGTAAAGTCATGAGCAATAACAGTGTCAGATAATTCAATGGAAACAAAATTACTCTGATCCCAAACAAAGATATTTAATTCCATTAAACAAGTTTATCGTATGAGCTTTCGTGCATGTTGAAACACAGACCAGCTCCCATTCCATCTAGAACGTCTACGTAAAAGGGTAAAAACATAGCTGACAATATTTCTTGTACCTCATCCTCATTTACAAAGGAGATCACTAAGTTCTTATCTTGATTAAATGATGACAAGTCCTGCAGTTGCATCATCCTCTTATCTAAATATGGAAATTGGCTATCATCATGCTCCACTTTTGGAGCGTTTGCAATAGGGACCTGCACCCAAGTCCAACCAATTATACCATAGCATTTGGTTAAAATTTAGAGAAGATATTATTTTTCCAACCTCAACAGTTATGTTTAGCTCTGGATACTGAGAGTGAGCGGCTGAAAAGCAAAAGGTCCTTTCATCTGGTGGAATGGATATCGCATGGACAGTGCAGCACCCGTGCTCGAAAGTGTATTGGATAAATTCCTGCGCTTGAATAGACACTGACTTGATTATAAGCATATGAGATTGGCCATCTTTATCATTGTGATGAATATCCATATCTACATCTCCATCAGGATCAACAACTTCAAAAACAAGGTTTTCCAATTGACCGCCAGCAATACAGATATCAGGCAACTGAAAAGCATGCATATAAAATTGTTCTTAAATGACAACGAAAAAATGCACATATTTAAAACCACTAGAAATAAGAACATATAAATCGTCAATATGCAACATTTTCAAAACCAACCTTGGATGCGATTCTCAATTTCCTCCTCACAGTCGAAAATTTCTGCTCAAAAACTATTTTGTCTTCAAACAGAACAGATAGGGATGCTGTACAATGTAGAACGCAAATGAGACTAGAAGTAACAAAACACAACCGCACTAATCATTGAACAGCCATGAATATCTTTCTTTCAATGAGAAACAGCCATGGCATTTTGATAGAGCTGGTGATTCCCTAAAGATTTGGACATCATTTCCTAAGGCGTATGGAAAACAATCTAGGAAGGGAAGTGATTTAAGAGAAGACTAATACCAGTAGTCAAGAGATTTATACCCAGGTTTACAACTGTCAGATTAAAATGGTAAAAGACAAGTCAGGTTAGGTGTAGCCAGAGGTATGGGCAGTGTTGGTAAGGGCAATGACTACTTTCTGGGGTGTAAGATTCATCCTTTCTGATAAGGGGTGAGAGGGTTCAGTCTCTTGAAGAGGAACTGTGTTGGGAGAGTTCTGGCCTCTCGAAAGTCCAGAGTCTGTGTCTTTTGCTTTGTTCTTATTTTGTAATTGTTATTTTGATTGTAATTTCAGTATCTGGGTGTCAAAAGAGTCGTGGGTTTGGCTTGAGTTCCGTCGTAATCTGTTTTAGTTGTGCAGTAAAAGTACTATCCATCCCAAGTTAAATTCCATTTCCTTGCTGTCTATTTCTGGCTTTTGTCTGTTATTAGCTTATTACAGCTGAGGGCTCAAACAGTCATTCCCAAAACCCTCATAAAGGAAACTAGCGCAAAGATGGTGCTAACAATAGTGCATTCGGAAGTTTCAGGATGCAGGCCAAGAAATATGGAAGAAACGTTAACCCTGATCTAATGTTGAAATTAGATATTAATTGATGAGATGAATTGCAGCAAATTTATGATTTTCATACCATGTTCTCCGAAACCTGCAATCAACTTCAGTAGACCACTGAGGTCAATTTTTCCATTAGCATCAACCTGAAAATCAAAAGGAAGGGGAAAAAAATTCCTGTTAGCGATCATGCATACAATTAAATCTCTACTGTGTCTCGCCCGTTTTAGGCCAGGAACACTTCAATCCGATGCTCCAAGATTTGCACACCTTTTTTAGATAAAGAGTCAATTTTATCAAACAATATAAAAAGCAGTTTTTATACATCCCCAGAACAGAATTAATTCTTCATAAATAAAAAATATGTCGAAGATTGCTAGAGCAACGTGACCTTTCGTGTCATGCCCACATGATCTTCAATGACGAAGTTTGACAAAGACAAAGTAACCTCTGAACCTTTAGACACGTGGTTTCCATATGCATCAAACATCTTAAAGGTAAACATTAATAAAAAAGTTAGCAAGAAAATTCAAGAGCGGGACAATTACTTCCAAGTTCCAATATATTGAAAGTAGAGACTCAGCATAAAATAAAGAATGACAAATATATGGGTAAAAAGTCTATCTCCAAATTAGAGGAGCAACTTGTAAGCATTTATGAATAGGAGCTCACTGGCTACGACTTTCTGAAGTTATCCTGGGCAAAAATATTCATTGTACCACTTGATTGCATTAATCATTAGAAGGAAAAGCAATCAATGCAAGTGAAAAAAAATTCCTTTCAAGATGTCAACAAATTAAGAATATATAGATGTGTGCCTGTTTCTACAGAAAAATTGAATAATTATGGACATATTAAGTTATTTTTCCGTGGTGGATGAAAATAACTATCATATTCCTACATGGTTGATTACATGTTAGTTCTCTAGTTTAACCAGCTCCACATGAGAAACAAAAACAATTAAAAACAGACATCAGGAAAAGGTAGCAGCATTCAAATTTACCTACCTCCAATACGAACTCCTTAAACACATAACCAGGAAGCAGCTGGTTTTTCACTATTGGTGACCGGAGTTCAACACGCTTAAGAGTGGAAGGCTTCACAATCACTCTTTCCTCACAATTTTTACAGCTTGATTGGATCTAGCAGGTTAAAATCCAACACAAAATATTGATTTGTCAATGACACATTTAAAATAAGAGCTTTTTTTTTTGAAAAAAATAAAAGGTTTCCATGCCTTCTTACAAGAGAGAATGAAAACACGTAAGCACCAGCTTTGTGAAATAAATCAGGGAACTTGCATCCTAGGGGTAAGAAGTATAAGCCATTAAGCCCTTTATAAGCTCCTGATGACACGCGTTCTGAAAGAATAACATCCTGGGAATTTTTGCTTTCATCCTTAAATTTGACTTCCATAGTCATCTCCGTATTGCTCTTGAAAATACCCTTCGGGTCTAACTTGTCTGCATTGCCAGGCATAAAATTTGTGGGCCTAACAACTGCCACAACATGGGTTGGGGGAACTTGACCAGCAAAAATGGGGGTATCAATAGGTAATGTCTGTAGACGAAAATGAAATGTTCCCAAGAAATTAAACTTCTGTAAGGAAAAACAAAGGAAATAAAATAGAATGTAGAAGACAGGAAATGTTGACTATTCCAGGTCCTCAACCAAAATTAGTCTCTTAGAGCCAGAGAATTCAATAATAGTAGTTCTTGAGGAACAAGGTCACACAGTCATTGAGAAAAGAGAAGGTGGAGGGTCAAAATCTAAAATACTAACCCCATCAACCTCCAATTGCTGACAATGTGGAACACTCAGCAGCTCGACAATAGCAGGAGATTTCTGTTGTTTCTGATGAAGCTGACTATCCCATTCAATGCTTTCAATAGGTACAATCTGGTACATCCGTTCATATTTCTATGTGCTAAAAAAAATCTCAAATTATGGCCAAGAAGGATAAACTTGCAGAGTAAGCAATAACCTTTCCAGAGTCAATCACGCTTAAAGGTAAGGATAAAGAACTCCCAAGGTCCAGATTTGCATGTTCATCATCCACGGAAAGGACACAGCCATTGTCATTCGGGACATCCATTGACCTGCAATATAAACACAACAAATACTGAGAAACTGACGCAAGGAATCATATTATTATTAAATAAAGTTCTTTTAATGATAACAATGACTTACCTACATATGATTCGGGCCTCTCCTATTAACAAATAAACCAAAGAGAGTCATATTCTTTATATTATGAAGAACCCACAAGTTAGAAATAGAATTTTCACAAGAATGTGATGCTACTGTCATAATGATATTATAAGCATCTCAAAAAATAATATAAATCGTCATTTCCCCCGGCAGTGGGAAGAAGTAGCTTAGAATTTGAACGACAATTTTAGATAACAATCAATAGACATACACTGTAATTATGGTAAAAATTTAAACTCTACCCCCTCCGCACCACGCATCAAGGGTTTACCATAAAAGCAACAGACATTGTATGAAATAACCAAAAGTGATATAGGATTACCTACAACTGCAAAATCACTTCTACTCTCTTTTTCGGTGACAGACTTCCGTTTATTGTTAGAGTTCAACATGAGAAAAAATAAATAATAATTTATGCTCGAGAAGATAATCACTTCTACAACTACAAAATCACTTCCATTTATTTCATAATTTATGCTCGAGAAGATATTTTAAACCATGGATATAGTTCAACAAGTTCCTTGTATATTGCACTACCATGATAACTGTTCTTCTGAATATCATAACTACTTATGTTTTGAAGTAATAAATTAAGGGGCAAATATACTAACTTTCATTGCTAACAAAATTTATTTCTCGTTCATAAAATGAGTTATATGAATAAATATATATTCTTAGTATTATTTTAGAAATCAACTTTAAATTTTTAAGAATGCCTATTTATATATTACGTCCGAAACAGTAATTTATGCAGTATCGTGAAGGAAGGGGAGGGGGTGGTGCGGTCTATTATCTACGAGCTTACCCCCAGCGTCCCCTTCGAATCCATCCAGCAGGAAATATTCTATAGTTGCATAAATATTGTGGCGGCGCCCCGCGCATGCTCCCTTCAGTAATTTGATTTTCTCACCACGATTCCATGATTTTTCCTTTCGCTTCAACTTCTGATGAACCCTTACAACTGCACGTAATTGAGGCAATAAAATGAATAGATAAATACAGATTTAATCATACAGATTTAATCATGTCCAGAAGAGATTCCCACTATTCCATGATTTGTTTGCCTACTGCAAAAAGTTCATAAAGAAAGAAACCCATTGAAAGACATCAAGTGGAAACTAGAATATGATCAGTTAATCATTTTTAACTAACCATCAGAAGAGATGCCGAGTGCCTTTTTGTTTGGCGGGGAGACGATAATAACTGGCTGATCCTCACCAGAATCGACTTCTTCATCATACCGCTGATGCATTTGAAAAATCCAATCTTGATATTCCCTTTCCAGCTGGGACGGAGTTAACAGCTTCCCAGCTCTACGAATTTCAACTACAACATCTAGTGATTTAAAATAACTGATGAGTCCGATGTTTTCTTCCCAGCTTCCCAGAAACAAGGCAGCAAAGCTGAACTAGAGTCATGAGTAAAACAAATAAAGGGAGATTACCACTCTCTTTCTCAGGAACTTTACTGCCTATTTTCTTCAAAGCAGAGGTAAAGGGATTGTGGTGAGCTAGATCAGTCTGAAAAAACATGTATTACTTAATTGTCATTATGTACCATTCCCCGCAAATATAGTTCCGCTTGCACATATGTTTGTTGCACGTGTTGCGTGACCGTGTCAGTGAATACAGAGAAATTAATAACAAATGCATGACAAATCCAGGAAATATGAGAGACAAGCACGGTGTACAAGTATAGCTTGTATAACCTTGGATGGTGTTGGCTTGAAACCTCCGTCGGTCTCTGCAAAACACAAAGTTCTAGATGAGGACTCAGAATTTAGCAAACTAAATTAATTGCGCCCAAGAAAGCAATAGTGTGGTGACGCGGTACCTATAAAGCATTTCACCCTTAAACAACATCTCTTCAACTGGTGAGCCCTGTTCCCTTTTTTGTTCCTCAAATCCATAAAAGGAAGCATATCCTGTGGTAAAGAGAGAAAAATCTCAAGAGCAATCACACGTATTCAGATTATGTCTGAAGATAGCATCTTGTACGAAAGAAAAAGCAGTTGAGGTGAGCAAATGACACACATAACAACTTCCAGCTGACTCCTTGATTAGCTACTGACTTTGGGAATGATGCCTAACTAGCCAGCTAACTTACGGTCAAATAGATCCATGTTTTCTTTAATTCCGTTTGTTATTTAAAGTAGTGATCGTTGAGTGTGACTCACAAACCCTTATCTCCAGAATCAAATCAATAATGGGATAAATAATCCATGATCAAGCATATAAAATAGCTAGGAGTATTAAGGTACAGCCAAAAAAAAAAAAAAAGATACAAACTCGAAGCCAATGATGAACTTTTACCCAACGAGCATCTGGAAGTAGACGACCCAGCCGACGAACAGAGACACGACTAAAGTTTTGGAAGTCCTCTTTAGTTTCAAAACCGTCAGCCTTCAACTTCTCCAAGACCCTCTCAATATTCTCCTTTCCCTGAAATTTAAAAAATCTTTCCTTTTTACTCTTAAATTTGTAAATTGTGAATTATAGAAAACGGGTTATGTCTCGCTTTTACCTCTCTGAATGGGAGATACACCAACCTCAGACGTGCATTTGCTTCTCGAGATGATCTTGACCCTAAAACAATGATTTTGAAGTAGAATTAAACATTGGCAATTTTTCTGACAGTCCATCAAACATTTATGTAATGAAATGGTACAAACACACGGCACATCATGGCGTATAAAAATTGAATGGGGTTACCTGGACTTCTCGTGCTGTCAGAATGATGCATAGAGGAAAAATGAAGCTGTAAAACAAACTCAGGGCCATTGCAAGAGTGCCAATTGGTGATTGCAACCTCCCCACCTTCAACTTCCGTCAAATCCACACCATTAACCTGTGAAATTAGCAGGTCCAATCTTACTTACATATTAGAGTAAACTAGACAACTAGGCATGAGTCCCATGCATTACGTAAAATCCTCTCTCTCTCTCTCTCTCTTTTGGCAATACATAGGCAAGCATCAGCTTGAGAAAAACGGATACATAAAATCTAAAAAATAAATAAAAATAAAAATAAGTGTTCGAGGTTCATAACTTATAAATAATAATTGTTTTGATACGTGTGTATATTCTTTTTAATTTTTATTATAAGACACTTTTAATTATTTCATGCATTTTAAAAAAAATTCTTTTATATTATAAAAATATATTTTTATTTTTACCCTTAATTTTAAACAGCAATACAATTATATTAAGTATTTTCACGTTAATAAAAAAGGGTGAAATTAAAATTAAAAGCTGAGAGAGTATGTTATATATTGACAGTTTATTGTTGTTATTTTATTGCTCAAGTATTTTGGTAATCATGCATTGCAAGCTCATCTTGACTTTTTTCTCATCCACAGCTAGTCGTATAATTTTAAGATTTACATACGATCTCATATAATAAATGAAAGGGTGTAAAACTAACCATATCTTTTTTTAATACAAATTAAGGGAGGCAATATGGTAAGAGAGCAGAAAATAAATCCAAAAATAAAACCTCGTAAAAAATGTTTTGGTAGACTAAACTCCGGTATTTGTAAGAATCTTATAATTAATGTGACATTTTAGAGGAGTATTTGGTCAGCTGCCATTAAGTGGAAAAAGGAATAGAATGACAAGACAGGGAAAATGCAATTAGATTGCATCCAATTCTTATGCATCAATTCTGACAGATTACTGAATTTCATAACATTGATTTGATAATGAGCTATTGAAATAATAATGCTAACGCAAGAACCTGGAACTCTATTGGTGTAGTAGTCTTCCTTGTCTTAGACATGTCATCACACTGCAGGAAAGGATTGCTTTAGTAGACAACAGATAACACTGTACGACCATCTTAATGTCAATGATTCTCGTTATAAAGCCAAAGCAGCATATAAGCCAACAAAGGATTTCCTCCGAACCTGAATGTAGGGGAAATATATGTCCTTCAGGTGGCACTGAAGTTTGGAGAGGTTACCCTTGAAGTCTGAACAGAAAATCTCAACCTGCAAATAAATTTCAAATTATTATAACAACCAACTGAATTTGCATGGCCAAGAAAATATTTGATGTTTAAACTAGACGCCCAAGTAAATATAAAATGAAGAGAAATAAGGGCAATTTTGTCAGATATGCACCTTCATACTATTTTATGACTCGTTGATAAATAAAAGTATATTGATAAGACTTGTATAATGAAACTGCAGCATATGATAAAATATCCTGATATCAAAACATTCATAGGCACCAAACGTTTTTATGAAGTTTAGGGAGCGCATCATCTCAGAAGACAGAAGATTAATTACCCCCCATTCTCGGGGAAAAAAAATTAATCAACAATGACGGCAAAAATAAAGGGTTGGTGAAATCAAGGTCAGCGTCGAATGTTAATGTTCTGAATAAGAACATCCGCGAGCGAAATGCGGGTATTGTTTATCCTAATTATCACAACGTGGCAAAAGAGAGTTAAATTTCATGGATACAAATTATGTACAGGAGTAAATAACTTGGCGGGAAATAACGACTAACTAATTTACAAAACTGTTTTCAATGAACTCTGGTAAAAGTTATCCGAATCTAATACTTACATTCATATGTAATGTAACATAGAAGCAAACAGAAAAGGATATGAAACTTGATATGAAACTTATAAAAACCTAGTTAAATAAATGATCAGGTGGTGGCACTACTTCTAAGGCACAAAAAGTGGCAATAGACAAAATTTGAAGTGTTCAAAAAGAAATTCAAAGTGTCATAAACGTGAACTGTTCGTGTGCGTAGAATAAGACAGCTCACTTTCTAAAATATTTGTCGCATTTGAGAACAAAAGTCAAATCCCCAGGGTTATATAAAAGAAGAAAGGGGAAAAAAAACGAGGAGAAGAAATAAAAGATCATGGGCACTAACTACCTTTGTGAAACTGCCATGATTTGAATCCCTGACTTCTTCCTCTGAGGGATCCCTGATGCCACCATCAGTCTAAATGACAGAAAAATAAACAAAAGTAACGGAATACCGTTTGCTAACATCCCAAACAAATAGAAGTATGCACAAAAAAATATTGTACTGATGAGGAATCATGATTACCTTCCAAGTTAGATCGGAGTTAGACGGACTTAGCAAAGCTTCTCTCTCAAGATGCAACATGTAGACTTTCTTGATGTGTTTTGTCTTGGAGGAAACCACGGTCCGCCTATAAAAGAATAAAATATAGAGGATAGGGGGGGGGGGAGATAGGAACTCAGAGTATAGAGTGCTTAAACAAAAACACAGGTGAAAAATGGAAATTCGTTTAAAAATTACCGCCCCAAATGCATAGATGCAATAGGTCCACCGTATCCAAACATCCCAAATAAGGCTGCACAGTCACCCCAAATAAATGGAGAAAGCTTAGAAGATGACACGCATGGGCAAACTTAAGCTACCATTGTGGCAAGAATGTAATGAATGTCGGAGCACAAATTGTAATCCACAAAAATTATTCAATAATCCCTATTACTAAGATACACCGTGCAGGAATATTAGAAGGCCTGCCCTGCAGGCTACAGGATAGGAGTAGTCAGACTGTTTAGGAAAATTTAGGAATTCAGGATGCAATTAAAACAAAAGAACAGAGAGTCCTGAAAATTAATGGTACCTTCAAATATGGAGGTTTCCCCCTATAGCGAGTGATTTATATGATCTATGAAGTGAAGCGCCCATCTTACCCCTGAGAAGAAGAAAAGAATTCAAAATAAAGTGAATGCGTAAAACAATCTAAGATTTTTATCTCCTCAAATCTGATTCTTATCCTGGAAAGTCAATTTCAACATGGGAGGCAGCAAATACTCGTATAGTTTTAAATTCCCAGATCACACAATAGCAATTTCAAACACACGAGTATATTGAATCAAAAATTAAGACTGGTTTCAAATCTCGGTATTCCATGAAACTTATAGCACAGTTTGAACATAGGTCCCACAACTTTTTCTCCTCTAGTCCCTAATCCTAACACCTGGGCACAGAGTTATGCGGCCTTCAATAACGTTGTCCGTGTCCGGAACAACCGACTTGCAAACATCGCAATTTTAAGAAATTCACAAAATAAAAAATCACATACCACTTCACTAGGAATTTTCATCAGTGTCATCCATTCCGGAGCCAGTGTCAAAGATTGAAATCTTATCCCCATCCAGATCTATTCTGCAAATAAAGAAAAATGAACATCACCGTGCTAAGAGATCAACCAAACAATAGCACATTAATTAGGTGCAATCATCAGGCAATTTTATTCAAACAAATACAACTACCAAAACCGTAATTATTAATTCCCTAGCATTTGGTTACTTGGTTAAGGTGCAACTTCCCCGTAGCATCACTGTATCATGCTACAGAAACAATTTTCATGCAAGTGTAGCTCATGTAATATGCAGCATATAATTAAAACAACAACAGCACAAACTAATTTGAGTATTTTTGCATAAGCTACGACCATTCTCAGAGCATGATATGAGATGACTGGAATGGCATGCTCCTCTCTTGAGCTGTTATACGGTTGACAAAGAAACGGAGAAGATGACAGGGAAATCAAAGGTATAGCTCAATGATAATTCCAATGGTGTTGCTTTTGATGACAGGGAAAGTGTTAGTTTAGATGTGATCATCAATTAAGCTTAAATTCAAATATTTTTGTTAAGCATAAATGTATTTTATGATTTAAAAATGTAATGCTATAATTTGTAAATGGTATTATATTAGTGTTGCTAAGAGTTTTTAACGTGATTCACTTTCTATATATTTAGTTATTATCAAATAAATTTTGAATTCCTTTTCAAATCGTATACTATAGTTTTATGTAATTTGTGCAGAACAAATGCTTAATAATATTATACTGTATTGCTTCAAAAAAAAAAAAAAAAACACTTAGACAACGTAACTTGGTGCAATTTGATGCTTGAAAACTGAAAATCATCAAACTGCTGGCATACCTAACAAGTCTTCTCTCATTTCCCGATTATACCACACAGCTTGCAATGAATTATCCTGATATATAAACAAAGTGTCGGTGTCAAAATCTTCAATATTGCATTTGGAAATAATGAGTTTATTTTCTCAGTTGTGTCAGAGCTCACAATCAAGTCTGCAAGAGCTGTTCGAAAGTGTATTCTTCGGGAAGCTCCACAGCAGATTAGTATCTGGTGGTAATCCCCCATATTCTGCATATTGAACACGACTTTAACGTACGTAGCATGGAACAAAGGATGTTCAGAGAAACCAAAACCATAATCTGATTACCGATTTACCGTTTAAAATATACACTGAGACAGACAAGCCTAGGAAACAGAAAACTAAGGAACATGAACAAGAAAAGTCCTTATAGAATACGAACCTTGAAAGTGGCAGGCAATGTCACCGCACTCATCCTAATTCAGAGAGATTAAAAACGCATCATCAGCAAGTAGGAAAAATAACGCCATCAAGCGTAACATAAATTTAAAGAAAGATAATTGCATAAAATCCTAGGGATGTCTGCAAAGTGATAGAGCTAGTTATTTTTTCCCTAAAAACAAAACTAAGAAAGATCAGGATCCCGCAATTTTCAATTCTGTGCTTGACCAGTTCGGTAATAAGATTTTAAACCGGTAAACCTTTCCAATGACGCCGTTGTTGTTGTCGTCGTCGTCACTTATGTATACTTTTCTCTTTCTAGAGCCCCTATATTTTTTCAATGACCCTTCCATAACGTCAAGAGCCTTCGAATCTGTAAACAGACGAACAGAACTGACAGAAGTAAAGAACTTCTAATTATTTTCCCTGAAATCGTTGGGAGCGAACAAGTTGATAACATAAACAGTAGAATGCTTTCGAAATCATTAAAAACCAGCACGTCCTTGGATTTTCGATATCTACTTTGCATTTAATGTACCCACGAAAAAAAAAAAAAAAAACCGGCTTTGCATGACTGCCAGGTGCAAAGCACATAACAGTCAACCTCGAAGAATATATTCACGCAAATAAAAATACAAACAAAAAAATAATGGAAACTAATAGAGCTGAATAAATTATAACAAACGACCCTGACTGAGCGTCTATTCTCATTTATATGAAAGAAAGAAGCTCTGTTTTGAAGATTAAAAGACTGAAAACAAAGTTTCATACAGTTCAACAAGGGACACTTTTGGATACAGCTCGATCGTCGCGGGGCACTGAAGATTTTGCGAAGAACAACGCAGAGAACGCTATGGTTTTATATATATTGGCAGAGAGAGAGAGAGAGGTCGGAAGAGCAAGCAACGGTTAGGAAAGGGGCGAGTGACTGAGGGAGCATTCACGGCAATGGGAAGCGAAGAGGCACTAAAGCACTGAGCTGTGTGTTTGCGACCCTGGTATGATGGAATCGGGAACGTCCGCGCATATCATGCCCCTCGCGCAGAAAAATAAGGTGGGGACCACTGGTGTCTGGGGACACTTGGTTTTCAATTTTTATTTTTTTCCCGCAACGCACTTGGACTAATCGAAGAAACAAACGGCCCAATAAAATACAGACAGACACGCGAAAATAAC